ATCATCATCATCATCATCATGATCCTGGTGTTGGTACTCAGCCTCAAGATCATGATTGTTCTGAATCTTGCAATGACAATGCTTAACTCCGAGGTAATAGCAAAAACAGTGTCACATGATAAGCGCGGTGATAGGTGCGGTCTGTGCCCAAGGAAAACCAACGTGGTGCCCGATCTACCACCAACGAATAGCACTTCTGGTACTATGCGAATGTGCTTTGTTGTATGGACATACTTCCGTGTACATGTATATATTCAGACTGCTTCTGGCCTCTGCAAACGGCGAGGACACACTCGGCGGAGCCTCCAAGGCGTGGCCCAAGGTTTGGGATGAAAGTTGAGGATCTAAGGTGTTTAGGGTTTAAAGGGTGGGGGGAGGGGGGGAATTAACTGGGTCTGGGTTTGGGTTCTACCGGCTGCAGGGGAAAGGTTCAAACGGAGATTTTAGGTACAGGGTTGGGAAGTTAGGCCAGCCGGCAGAATTGAGGACTTAAGCAAATTCACAAAGATCATCGAAGCTCCGGAATCGGTTGCTAGTACTGTACGTGATGGATGGAAATATGCCTGCGCGGGAAAATTGGGGGGTTAAGGCTGTGGGCTTCGGATGGCTTCTTCATGAGCTTCTGCCGAAGTTTACACAGCTCCATTCTCGAGGCTCCAAACAAAACTTCACTCGGATTCTCGGTGAGTTCCCGCTTCCGACCTTTTGGCGCAGGAAGAGCTAGGCCAGGCTTCCGTGTTGGTGCTCAAGGCATCAGATTTTTGCCCCCACGACTCCCCTAGAAAGGGGCCAAGAGGCATCTTGAAGCTCTGGAATGGGAGTTGGCTTGCTACAGCTTTGTAATTCGGGCCAATTTTCTACTCCTTCAAACGTCTGTTTATGAAGAAACCAGAGACCCTATCAGGCCTGTCGTCCTCAGGCCCCTACGTTAACGCTGGCCTCAAGCCTGAAAAAACAAAGTGGGATGCCGGAACTCAAGCTTTCCTGGCGACACTTCTTCGAAGCGCTGAACTTTCTGGGCCAGCTCTGCTGCTTCCAACCCTTCTCTTCGGGTTTAGGGTGCCGAGCAATGAACTCCGAAGCTTTCACATCCCTACTAGATCCCCCCGGAGGATTCGCGAACAGTTCGAAAGTCTGCAGAACGGCCTTAGAAGCACCGGGCACCAAGGCGGCCCATTTATCTGTTGAGGGGACCTGAAACATCGGATCATGGTTTAGACTGCACTCAGAGTTTAGGCTTTTTCAGTTGAGCGTGTTCGCAACACGTCACAGATGCAAAACTGCTCCGTCTTCTCCTGTTGCTGTGACACTAGCAGGCTGATATTATACCCAGCATCGTAACTCATGCTGTGCTTGCTATGCATACTTCCTTGCTGTCTGTCCTCGTATTACTCCGATTCTGACGACTGCTATCTTCATAATATTGCGGTTACCATAGTTGTCAGTACAAACATTACTGAAATGTTTTGCTGTTCTTGTCAAGGTACCTCTCAGCGTACCAACCCGTCACCAGCTTGCGCAAGCTCGGGGCTCAACGACTCGTCAAACTGCTGCCTGAACTGTACTGGGAAACGCAACCTGACAGGAAACCTGGAGCAATATCGAGCTTGCTACCATGAAGACCCGTGAGTACCTTAAAAAGGCTCTTGAACAACGTGTGCATATGTACATCCACATCCACATGGACATGCACATGCACATGCACATGCACCTACATGCACATGCACAGATGTACACGTTTCTTCGTCTGTACATATATGTGTGTATATATATACGCACATACACACACACATATATATATATATATATACATATATATATATATACATATATACATATATATACATATAAATATATATATATATATATACATATATATACACATCTAGATATGTAAAATAGCATACATGTGCGCATTGTTTGCTGTTGTCTCCGGGGCCCTCAAACCCTTGAGCCCCCAGCCACGTCGGCCGCGCGCAGTGCCGGCAGCAGTTCTGCGAGCAGGGCAGCGGACTCTGCGTCCTTGGGATGCAGGGGGTTCAAGCCAAGCTTTTACAGATGTCAACAGGTTTCTAGAAAGTAAAGTCAACAGGCAGAAGGGGTTCGCAGGGCTTTAAGCGTTTCTTAAGGGGTGGAGGAATTGAAGAGGCAGGGCTTCAGGGTTGCAGGGTTTGTGGCGGGCTTAAGCAAAACCATTCAAAGGGTTCAGGCTTGAGGATGCCAGGTTCAGGGCAACAGAGCTGGGGGGGCTTAGGGTGTTTGTTTTTGGTGTTGCAAGGTTGAGGGTTTGAGGGATTTACGGTCCGGGGTTATAGGCCCTAGGTCCTAGGTACCGGCGATGGGGGCTACAGCAAAGTCGAAGATTTCGGCATTAGGACCATAAGATGCAGGACGGAGGTTTTGTTGGTTTTACGGGTCACAAGGTCTAGCGGCTTTTGCACTATGTGAAGGTTGCAGGGTGAAGCATGCTTCAGAAAAGGATTGTCTAGGGCTGCATGCGTAACTTGCTGCCCAGCTTCTACCAGTGCAGAGGCTTCAAGCCATGCCGCTTTGAAGCCTTGCAAGAACACAACCCGATCTAGCAAGGGAACAGCATTAGGGGGGTGACAGATAAATGAAAGCAAGTGTGTGTATGTATGTATGTATGTATGTATGTATGTATGTATGTATGTATGTATGTATGTATGTATGCATGTATGTATGTATGTATGTCTGCATATGCATATGCATATGCATATGTTTTTGTATATGTACATGTATATGTATGTGTATGTGTATACGTA